AACATAAATTACAAATAAATAATAAATACATTAAATAATAATATAATAAAAATAAATAAAATTAATATTCTACAATGTGATATTTCCGTAAATTGATACCTAATTAAATTTCCTGATGTATATAAAAAGATATCTGAAGAAAGATCTTGAAAAGATTTTGAATGATATCAGGATTTATTCAAAAGAATGAAAAGAAACAGATAACAAGGTAAGTTAATATTTTATTATTTAAATTTATTCATTAATTTTAATTAACAATAAAAATAAAAAAATATTATAATATTAGAATTAATAACAACAATAACAACAACAACATCATTATCATTATCAGTAATAACAAAAACAAAATCGTCATCATCATCATCAGAAGCAAGATCAACAATTATAGATAGTGATTATGATAGTAATAATAATGATGATTATGACAATAATGATGATGAAAATGATAATGAAAATAATAATAATAGTAGTAATAATAATAGTAGTAATAATAATAATAATAACAATAATAACTATGCTTTGAACAATAACAATAATTATAATAATAATGATAATGCTACCTTTATCATAAAGAAAACTTCCATATATGTATATAAGAAATAGTGAAGATCAGATGCTGTAAATAAAATAATAATAATATTTTTTTACACTTATCAGGTATATTATTAATATATATATTTTTTTAATTATTAAAATTATTACATGAACAAATTGATTTGGTCATAGTTTAGATCTGTAAGAAACAAAATAAATCAAGAATTAGAAATGTTGTATCAAAGATTCATTGAGAGATAAATTCTTTCAAAAGGGTTGCTTATGGACATTTAGCGAAGAGGTGTTAATATCTAAAAATAGAGATAAAAGTAAAATAAAAATATATGATCAAGATACTGAAGAAGAGGAAGAAGAAGAAGAAGAAAATAATAATAATTATGACTTAATTGTGATTGATAAAGGAAAAAGAAAATGAAATCAAATATCATCATCATCATCATTAAAAATAAAAAAAAAAGTATGATCATGAAATATTAAAGAACAATTTTATAATGAATATTTAATAATAGTAATAATAATGATGGTAATAATAATAATATATTTTTAGGACATTTGAACATTTAAATTTTCTATATTTTTATTATAATAGTATATTTTTAAAATATTTTAAATTTCATACATTTATTATATACAATAATAATTATATTAATAAAAATAAATAGTTATCAGGTATATTATATATATACTAGGAAATGATAGACCATTGTAAGTCTGAAGCAATAGGTTATTTTTAATTATAAATTAAATTATAATAAATCATTTCATTTTTAATTAATTAAATATTTTAAATTAATTAAATTATTGTATGATAAATTATTTGAATTTGATTAAGTTTTATTTTTTTTTAAATTGTTATTATTTGATAAATTGATTAAATTTTAAAATCTATATGTATTGTACTATTAATAAAATTTTAAATTCACAATAAAATTTAAATAAATTAATAACAGAATTAAATATATATTTCATAAGTCATAAAGTTTCTGTTTTCTATTGCTTTAAATTTAAAGAAACTCATAAATGTAGATCGACCAATCAAATTGTGAATTCGTGATCAATACGGATTAGCTTGCAAAGTAGAATTATGAAAAAGTATCATTTTTAATACATCTGTTGTTATTTTTTTTGACACTTATGGCTGCTTTTTAGTGTATCAAAAAAAAATAACCATAGATGCATCAAAAATGACACCTTTGCAAAATTAATATATAGTCGACCATGTTTTTTCAACTAATTAATTCACCTTTATTATTTTACCTAAGCTTTAAAAGAATCAGTTAATTAATGAGTAAAAAATTAATAAAATTTCATTTATAAACCTTTTATACTTATCTTTAATTTTCGTGATAAAGGCAAAATGAAAAACCAATATGTTTCATATGACGCCCGAAGAAAACGCAATAGCAGAAGGAATGAAACACCTTATTAACGTGATGAATGACTTTCTCAAGATCGTGAAAGGACATGAGAAAAGAAACGCAAAAAAGAAACTATAGAAACCACAGAAGAATGAATAACGTGTCCCACCAGTAGCTATAATAAAAAATAAAAATGTCAAAGGGAAGAACAGGAAAATGAAGTGCCCAAAGTAAAAATCGTGAACGAATGTATCATAGAAATGCACTAACAACTATCAATGAATCAAGCTATAATATCAATTCGCAGAGACCCCAAAGTAACGTGACTACACAAATTCGGAGTACAGCAACGCAAAGACTTGGTCAACTTCAAAGTCACGTGCTCACGCTTAGTGAAATTAATAGAGACGTTCTACAACAATTTTGCATTAAAATGAATTAGCTAAAACATAACCTTTGCCCTATATGTAATGAAAGTTTTCCATCAATAATAATTGTTAAGGGAGAATGTTTGTGTTGTTATAATGAAAAAAGTGTATCAAAAAGGTTCTCTGCTGAAAATAATATGGACCCGGGCACAGTACCAGAAGAATTACAGGAGCTTACAGAAATCGAAGAAATGCTAATTACACAAGTATTTCCTGTAATATCAGTTTATAAACTTTGTGGAGGGCAATATGGATATCACGGAAATGTAATAAAGTTTTCTCAAGACGTACGAGAGTTTACCACCTAACTTCCTTGGCAGCCATCATCAATAAATATATTAATTCTATGTTGACATTCCTCAAAGTCAGCATCATTTAGGAATTTTAATGTTTGTCGTGATAAAGTTGCTCATGCGTTACATTGGTTAAAAGCAAATAATCGTTACTACGCTAAAGTAACTATCAATAACGAAATCATTTTATCTTTACCTGTTGACAGCTCAATAGAAGATCAGCTTTCAAAGGATCAAATAAATGCGGAAGAATCAAATGATGAAAATGATGATGGCATAATTACATGTACTTTTGTTCCAGGTCTTCCATCAACACACCGTGAAGATTTTGCTATTAACAAAATCCTTAATCGTATGCAAAACAAGAATTCTCCAATAGCATAGCTGAATATAGACAATAGCCTTATTAATGAGTTCCAAACACTAGGCTATATCATACGTGCATTCTCGGTCTTTTATCCAATGGGAAATGCTGATCTTAGAACGGAACGCATAAAAGATGTTCATCCAGCTGAATATTTTAAACATTTACTCCAATACAAAGATGGCAGATTTGCTCGTCATACTCGCTGGTGATATTTTGTTTTAAATTCAATAATGCGGTGGCGGGCGTTACAAGAGGGAAGGGTATATGTCAAACAAAAGTTAAGTGATGATTAGATAAGTACTAAAGACCTCTCAGATATGATTGATCAAGGTGACAAACATGTTGCTGATCGTATTATGCGATATGGCGAAGGATTGCGTAGTTCTCGATAATTTTGGATGACGCGCCGTTATGAACTATCAGATATGATTAAGTAAATAAGTTCAGGTGGGCTTGTATTTTTCACGTTTAGTGCTGCAGATTTGCACTGGCCTGAGTTCCATAAACCTATGCCATCCAGTGAGAATTCCATAGAAGAAACTGAACCAACTAGAAGTTATCACAAAAATGTAATTGATAATCCCCATATTTTGCATGGTTCTACAATAAGTGTTTTGAGACTTTCTTTAAAGATGTCTTAATAAAGTAATGGGATTTGGAAGACTGGTGGTATCAGTTCGAGTGGTAACATCGTGGTAACATTCATATTCACGGTATTGAAAAAAGAAGAAACGCACTTACGATTGAATGAACAAAAATAAAAGAAGATGAAAATGTGATGAGAGAAGTTGTGCGATATCTTGATGGATTAGTTACTATGATTAACTCAGGCCTTGATGCATCCATTTCTAATCACCATTCATATCAGAAGTGTTGAGAAGAACTAAATGATGATTTGGGGGATTATCTAGATTTAATTAATAAACTATAAAAACACACAAGGTGCAGCCCCTCATATTGCCTTTGTGCCAATAAGACAGGTCAACAATTATATAGATTCAGGTTCCTTAAGGATAATGTCGATCATACTACTGTACGCGACGACAGACATGGGTAACTGGAACACTGGTTAAAAATTGATAAAACATATACATATCGGATACCCGATATGTGTATGTTTTATCAATTTTCGACCAGTGGAACTCATAATTGCAAGAAATGATCAATATATTAATTCACATAGTTGACTTCAACTACAAGGTTGAAGAGCAAATGTCGACTTGAAATCAATTCTTACTACCCATGTAGCTTTGCAATATATTGCAAAATATGCAAGCAAAGCAGAACCACAATCAGCATCTTTTTCAGAAATATTAAATCAAATTCTTCGAAACAGTAATGCTGATGACCCAATACTTACCTCAGTTCAGAAATTACTGCTTCATAGTGTTGCAGAGCGTGATGTTTCTGCTCAGGAGACCTGTCATCTACTTCTTGAGATCCCCTTATATCATTCAAGTCATTCTTTTATTTCGTTAAACCTTAATAGAGAAGCACTGCAATGGATTCGTGATATGGGTAGTAATGAAAACGGAGAATATTCTATAACTGATAATGTTGAGCAGACCGGAAAATCACCTTTACAACTATATTAGGAGTGGCCTATGGAATTTGAGGATTTTTTATTATTTCGACTTAACTTAACCTATAAATTAATCAAAAACCAATGGAATAGATGCAAAGATGAAAATATAATATGCATCTTTCCAAGACTATCATCTCCCTGGAATGGCATCCAATAGGAAGAATTTTGTCGTGTTAAAGTTCTTCTCCACGTTCAGCATATAAATCTTGAAGAGCTGACTGGAAGTGGCACTGTTAGTTGGTTAATCTTATATGACCATTATCAAGAAGAGATTGAATCAGATCCAGTTGATTTACTTGGACCCCCGATCGATAATGAAGACTGCGAAATTGATGATGACAATAATTTGGAAGCAATTGAAGAAGAAGATGATGGTGAAGAATTCTGATTTGATTGAATACTTTTAGCCGAAATAGGTCCAGATACAGTTATTAATGATTTTTGTAACCTGGAAACTTGAGACATTAATAGAAACCATAGATGAATTGATGATGCTAGACAACACTATCTTGATACTGACATTATAAATGCTGATAATTTCATAAGTCAAGAAATATCTAGAAATATCCTTATAGAAGAAGATGAGAATTTAGAAGTTTTAAATTTTCAAAATTTGAATGAAAAACAAACAGAAGTATTTGAACGAATAAAAGCACATTATTGCAGTGTTCTCACGAGTTGTCAAGTTGAGGCACTTAAAATAATTATTTTGGAAACAGCGAAACAGGTAAATCTTACCTTATAAAAACAATTCGAAACCTATTTCATCAGATGACTGGTGCTGGGTCTAAGTCATCACTACTAGTACTTGTTCCGACCGGTGTTGCAGCTTTCAACATCAGTAGAGTAACAATCTATTCGGCACTCTTGATTACAGTAAATGACAGCAATAACTTAAATTTGAATGGTGAACGATTAAAGCGGCTACAGGAGAGGTTAAAAGACATAATTTATATTATTATAAATGAAAAAAGTATAGTTGAATACTGAATGCTAGCTTTAATTGACATGTGACTACGTCAAGCTTTCCCCAAACATCAAGATGAACTCTTCAGCAGCAGGTCAATTATTATAGTTGACGATTTTGGTCAGCTTTCACCTGTACTTGATCTGCTAATGTTTACTGACATTATGCGAAATCCATTATCCAATGATGGTTATGCAACATATAAACAATTTCGGGAGGCATACAAGCTTGAGATAATTCAAAGACAATCAGGAGATTCTGAAGAACAAAGGAGATTTAGAGATATTCTTTTACGACTACAAAATGGAGAGTCTATGTTAGAAAATTGGAAGATACTTGCTATACGATTTGAAAATAAATTAATCAAAACTGAACTTGACTAATTCTCAGATGTTATTTTTATCTTGCTTAAGTGGTCTGATGTAAAGGTCGTTAATTTTGAAAAATTTAGATCTTTAAATATCTCTGTTACTAAAATTTAGGCTATACATACTGATAACTCCGAAGCTAAAAAAGTTGACTCTGATACAGTGCATGGTCTTGAGACAGTACTATTATTAGCAAGAGGTGCATGAGTTATGTTGACTGCTAATATATAAACCAAAGCAGGACTAGTTAATGGCTCATTGGGAACTGTCCAAGATCCCTCCCCATTGTCATTTTTATTGCTTTTGACAATTACAGAGGTCCTATAATTGCAAATACAGAAGAAGTCAGAGTTGTTCCAATTACATCAATTCGATATACTTGGGAAGGCAAATCTGAAATACCATGTTCACATCTCCAAGTTCCTCTTCGTTTAGCGTGGGCCCTTACGGTAAAGGGTAGGGCTAAATCTATTTTTAAATTCCTAAACTTTTCAGAATTTTATTTTAGTCCTAAACCTTTTGCCTAAATCTCCTAAACTATCCTAAACCTCCTAAACTATCCTAAACCTCCTAAACTATCCTAAACTTTCTAAACTATCTTAAATCTCCTAAATTATTCTAAACTTCTTAAATTATTTTAAACTTTTTAAACTATCTTAAACT